TGTGTGTGTGTGTGTGTGTGTGTGTGTGTGTGTGTGTGTGTGTGTGTCTTTCCCAAGTTGGAGTGGGAGTGCTTTTGACACCGGACTGGGTCTTTCCATTTTGCCATCTTGTATCTTCCCCAGCAACTCTGGCTCTCCAGAACCCCCAATCAATGTTTAAGTGAAACATGCAGAAGACATGAAGATTGTTAAGCAACAAATACTCAGCAGAAAGGGCTGTTAATTTTAAAAAAAGAAGAAGAAAAAGAAAAGAACATCAGATATTCTAAGACAAGTATTTGTAGAGGGAATCACTAAAAGCTTTCAGTTTTGAAAGCAAATATTTAATTTAGGCTCCCCCTTCTGTGTGCTTACAAATGGCACTAAATTCAGTATAATGCTCAATCTACATTTTGAGATTTACTATGGGACTCATGGACTTTAAGAAAAAAATGTAGTTCATTGTAAATGCCTACATTTCACAGTCATTCTTTTCTTTTAACACAATTGGAGTGACAAAGGTAATGACTTCCTAGCTAGCCATATTCAAAAGAAATGTCAAAAATTTAAATTTATAAAGCTCTCTGTGAAATGTTGTGATGCCCCCAATCAAATGACCCTCCTGATCTTGCCCGGCACCCTTTTCCTCTTGGCTGCTGGCACCTTCCTGTCTCATTGCCAAGGATAGGCCACATCTGCAAGTCTCTATCCCACTCCCCACCACTTAGAACTCTTGAAAACTCTGGGGAGGCTGACCAAGGACAGAGGACCCTATATTTGGGCTTCAGGATCCTAAATGCCCCAGGGCTCAGAGCTCCTATTAGTGCTATTTCACACTTACTACAAGTTTAAAAAAAAGAAAACCAACAACGGTGAGGATGATGATGGTGATTTTTGTGTCTTGTCCATGAATCACATAGTATTATTCTAGGGGAAATGTACCCTGGTTTCAAACAACTCATCTGCAAGTACAGGTTTTGGAACATGACCTACATGTTTACAGTGGCACATGAGACTATACTTTTTCTCAGACTCATGGACTTTTTTCCTTTTTCAATTACTAACTGCTTTAGTCCTCTAAACATGGATACTTCTTCTTCTTCTTCTTCTTTTTTTTTTTTTAAAACCAATACTGGGTCTAACTCTGTGGCCCCAGCTAGATTGCAGTGGTGCATTCATAGCTCACTGTAACCTCTAACTCCTGATCTCAAGTGATCCTTCCTCCTTGGCCTCTCAAGCAGCTAGGACTACAGAAACATGCCACCAGGCCTGGCTGATTGATGGATTGTAGAGATGAGGTTTCACTATGTTTCCCAGCCTGGTCTCCAACTCTTGGACTCAAGTGATCCTCTCACCTCAGCCTCTCTAAGTGCCAGGATTACAAGTGCCTGGCCCTAAACATGGATTGTTTTAAAGAAAAACAAGCTTTTCTTTAAAAGCTTGCCCTATTTCTAAACATGGTTTGTGTTTGCAATAGTGCACTCCTCATTTTATGCTGACTCTGATGGTAATGTAGGACTCAATTGCTGAAGTTGTCGTTACAGCAGACTTTCCAGGAGGCCTGTGTTGTTTCTCAGGTTGCCTTCTCCAAAAGGGGACAGTTTGCCCATATGGGACGTCCTGCCCCAAGCATTTCTAACTGCTCTTCCATCTCTGTCCTCCCTCTGCAGGATGGCCATGGGTGACCCTCTCTGTCCTGGGATTCCTGTACTGCTACTCCCACGTGGGCATTGCCTGGGCCCAGACCTACGCCATGGACTAATGCTGTTGGGTCCAGGCCAGTCCTTGCTGCTGGCCTCCAAGGCAAACAGTGCTTCACCCTGACCTCTCACTCCAGGACAGCCTCCAAGGGATTTGATCTGTTCATCTTCGGTTGAATGTTCTGACTCCAAGACTGGATGCTGGATCTCACAGAAAATTCACAGCCAGCCAATCTTCTAACCTGGAGTCTTTGAAATCTTCTACCCCAACCCATCATTTTCCTATTGAGGAAGCTGGGGGCCAGGGCAGTTTTGTGTCTTGCCCAACTACGCAAGGTGACATTTTGGTCTAGAACCTACTTTCATGAGCCCTTTGCATTCTTTCCCCTTAAGCAAGAATAGAATGTAGTGGACATTTATTGATTGAGACACAGAAATCCTGATTAGTGATAGGCCTGTCTTCTGGGCAGTATTTCTCAAATATTTGAGTGACATTGATGTTTAAGTGACCTCCTTTATCACATCCTGCAGTGTCTCTAGAAGCAGCACTAGGGTTTGAGCTTCACACTTCAGCCCCTCTGTAGGCAGGAGAGCAAGCCACAGCTGTCTTTTGAATTACCTAGTCCAAGAAGATAGTAGCAGCCCTGTAGTGTTCTAAGGCATCCATACCCAAGGAGTCCTGTGATTTGAGCTTCAGCAGGGTGATCTACATTTGGGTGCTTGTTTCTGAGATTTGCAGAGAAGTGTAACATGGTAGTTCCTCTACCTTACAGTTAATAGTTTCTTAATAAAGAAGCAGCATTTAGAAACCACAGGGTAGTGTATCCACAGATGGGGTGCTATCAGGCTAGTCATGAGGATGGTGTCCTGGAATCTTGTCCACCCTCTCCACACGTCTCAAAAGTCATCCTCCTACTCAGTGATTCACGTTTAGTGGTTTATATTGTTATGGTTTGATTCAAATGGAGCCTTTTCTGTCATGTAGATAATCTACATGTTTGTAGAATTATTTTTAATATGTTTGAGGAAAATGTTTAAAATCTAAATATATTCACATAACTTGATTATTTACCCCTCTAAAAAGATGCTGGATAGGCTACCAAAGGTCCCAAGTGGGTAGATAATTCAGAATACTTCTGTGTGAATTGGGATTTTTTTTTTTTTTTTGGAGTGGGGAGGGGTAAAGGAGCCTTAAAATTTGAATCCATAATATATCTAATTACAGGAGAATTTACAACATCTCAAGTAGGTGAATTAAGTTGTCATTGAGTGAAAGGCTCACTTGGACCTAGTGCTGCCTCCTGTTTATTACATAGCATGGCCCTTATGTCTTGAGTTGAGGTTATCGACTCAATGAGGCTTAAACTCCTAGAGTACAGGACCATTTTGTTGACTGTCTTTCTTCATAGCTTCTCTGCTTGGCAAAGAGATGGGAGGGGAGCCAGATACTGACTACCCTGGGTGGGCACATTATGTGTTAACTAAAGCAAAAGACAGAGGCCAGAGAGGGGCAGGTAGACCTGCATAGCAGCAGCCTCAGTAGCTGTCTTGGTAAAGGAGAGAGAGAGAGACATGCGGCCAGTGATTCCAGGGTGCTCAGAAGTTTCAGGAGGGAATGAGCCTCAGGGAGGAGTGGGCACCTACATGAATGCAGTAAGCCTTCATGGACTAACACTCATTCAGGATTTGTGGCCAGCCAGAGGGAGTTCCGCTGAAGTTTACTCGGAAAGAAAGGGCTTGCTAAGAAAAAAAGAAGTATAAAAATGATGATATGGAAGTATCTAATGTATGTGTGCCTGTAAGTTAATACAAAAGTTTTGAGCTCTTCCAAGTATACCATTTATAGAAAAACAAATAGGCTTATTCATTCATTAAACTATTTTGGAAGAGTCAGTGGATATATTTGAAAGTGGTAATCCTGAATTTCTTTTAAACTATTATATGATTCATAGTGGTTCTCAGGAATTAATAAATAATTACTGTGTTTAGCTCTGTATTTGAGGCTGATTAATTAATATGTGGATTATCCAGGACCATTGTTTTGCTTAACCTCTTCCTACTCCCCAGCTGTAATATGAAAATGATAATGCTTCTTTCCTCATGCATATTAACTAAAATCTTGTAGTTACTCTGAATAGTGGTGCCTGGGCACACAGAGGAGTTCAGTCAAGGACACTGGACATGTCATCAGCCCTGGGCAACTTCAGGCACAGTGTTGGGAAAAGACTAGACAAGGTCCCAAGGTCAGTTCCAGACCCTGGATCCTCTGATACCAGCCTCACTCTGCGGGCAAGACCAAGAGCTCCAAGCACAATCGCCAAGATGCTACCCAAGGAGGGAAGCAAGATACCTGAAGGACACCCAAACCTTAGTCATTCTAATTCTTGGGACCACACAAGAAGACTGAAAGGTTATTTTTTCAAATTAATTTGTTTGAAGTGTCAGGAGAAAACATTTTGTTCCATTAAAGATAGCAGGCCTCAAGAAAAAATAAATCAATGACACAAATAATTGTATAATAATCTATATATTGGGAGAATAGCAATTTTGGTGGGGGAGGGGGCGGCTTCCCCTTACAGAAATTGAGACTGCTCACTTGCTTATTTAAAGTAATACAACCATTGACAAAGAAAATAGTAAATTAACCATAATATAATGAGTTTGGTTTTTAGCAGGTATATCGGAATATATCCATACAATAGGGTTCCCTTCAGTGTGGACAACATGAGAAGCCAAATTATTGTGATACTACTGGCCTCAGCGCCTTTTGAGAAAGCCTCTCTGAGGCCTTTCTCAGGGAAATTATTTCATTTTAAAACAAAAAACCCTCTTTTTAAAATCATTGAACTCTATCTGGCACCCAGAACATGGCATTCATTACTTAGCTCTATATTACTGGTCCTTTTGACTAATTACAAAAATCATATTCACAGAGATGTTTTGCAACATTGAAGAGATCTAGATAGAATGCTTTAGGCTGGGCGTGGTGGCTCACACCTGTAATCCCAGCACTTTGGGAGGCCAAGGCAGGTGGATCACTTGAGGTCAGGAGTTTGAGACCAGCCTGGGCAACAGAGTGAGACCCTGTCTAAAAAATAAATAAATAAATAATAAAGAATGCTTTAATACATTATTAGTGATACTTTTGAAACAAACATCAATAATTTGGAATTTTAAACACTATCACCCTTAAATTATTTTTACAATGCTTTTGTGCAATTTGATTAAATCAGTTGCACAAAATGTAAGGAAACATTACATTGCACACAATGTAAGGAAACATCATTAAAAATACTGTACCCCTACTGTGATCCTATAAGATCAAGCAGAGGCTTGTAGGTCAGATTCCCCATCCCCTAATTAAGTTACACTGTCTATAATAAGAGAAGTGCCATGTTTGTAAAGTGGTCCACTGGATGGTAAATAAGAACTCAGGTTGGCAATATTGTGGAGCCTTGCCATGAGCAGGAAGCAATACCTATTAAAATAGCAAAACTGAAACCATGCTAGTGTATGGGACTATTTCGATTAGAGGCAAGCTACCTTAATAGCTTCTGAGACTATCAATGAAGTGTAAAGCACAGATCAGAGCTCATATTGTAGACACTGAGTCATTCAAAAAAGATTGTTATATTCTTCATACTATGTTTTAAAAGGTGCGAGGGAAACGTTAATATATTTTATACAAATTTCAATCCAAATTGTTCAAAATAAAGTGTACGTCTAAGTAAGGGGGGGGGGAGGGCGGTCAGCTTCTGGTGTATCAGATCCATGTGTCATACAGTTTTCCATGATACCAGGCATTGAGGCCAACATCTGTGTCCTTGTACAGCAACTGCAGCTGGACCTTAAGATCGTACAGCCACATACGTTCATGTCCATTCTCTCACTCTTTGGTACTTTGACACACAGTCTTGGTGAATCTGGAACTGTAAGTTCTCAAAAAACTGTAAGTGCTGTCCAAATAAGAGCTTCCCAAACTCTTGAATAGAAAATACCATCCTAGGTCACAACTTAGGTCACAACTGTCATCTTAGGCCAGAACAGCCAATTCAGTGACCTAAAATTAATGTAAGGAAAGGCAAAAGCAAGTATCATGTATAAAATAGTTTATTACCATAATAAATAAAACTTTTTTTACAAATATCATTTGTGCTTGTTTAAAAATGTTGAGAAGGGAATATCATCAATGGAGGGGCCTGCGCGTTCCTCTTAACATTCCCAAGCCACAGATACACAGTGGTGTTCTTGGCAGCATCCTCAGCTGACCACAAAAATAGTATCAGCTCATTTACACTTTTGTTTATTCATGCTCATTTGGACAAAGTGACAGTTGCAAAGGAAAAAGAAAAACCCAATAAAGGATTTGGCAGGACTCAATGGAAAGCATATTAATATAAGGAGAAGCCCCAGAATGGTGAACTGCTCATGAGTAGAAGTGTCCTTGAGGTGCCGGCAAAACGTCGGATGTGGACAGTCTCCAACTGATGCACAAATACAGCATCGGAATATAAAGAGAATACATTCATTAGGGGAGGGTGCATCCTTTTTAACATAAGATCAGTTTATATCCTGATACAAGATCTGTGAACTTCTCATTGAACCAACTAATGGATCCGTCGGATGACTCAGAAGTCACAGATAAAGAGACAAGGGCTGTAAGAAAAGTTTAATGGCAGGCAGGGAGGGTACCCACCGCTCTGGCACCTGCAGGGAATTCAAGTCCAGTTCTAGAAGTTCCAGAGTAAGTAAGTCTGATACGCTCACATGAGAATGAAGTTTCACTTGAATTTACGCTGCAGATAAATTCACATTGATTCTTTTGAGCTGTAGGGGGTAGAAATTAAAACTTCTCAACATGAACACCTTTGGTGAGAAAATGTTTTTTTCTCTGATGTTTGCAGTCAGTGCTGAGAGGATCATGAAGTCTCCTCCAGATGGAGGGCACAGGAGCTGGTGAAGGTAATCTTAATTGAAGCGAGTGAGAAGGCAGTATATAGAGCAATAACAATGATTTAGCAACAGAGGGAGGCTGTCTGGGGCGTCAAGTGTGCCCTCAATGGCCTCCTCTTTAAGCAACACTAGGTGATGAGGAGAGAGGAAGGGGCGTTGGCAGCTCTATCACAGCTGGAGTTCCATTCAAGGGTCTTAAGGCTAAACGTCTTTATTGCAAGACAGTACAATCTATTAATCAAATGCACATCAGCAACATGTATCTCCACCAGGGCTCCTAAAATTTCCCAGAGTATGCATGTGAGACAGAGTGGTCAGTGCAACAAGGGAAAATGAGGATCTTCCTATGCCTAGTATTCCTAGAGTTCATTTAGTCCCCACAAGGGCTCAGACAAAGAGCTTGACAGTTGGTATAATACCTTCCATCTAAGGATTTGGAGAGGAAGTTTGCTGAATGGGATGGGGTGGTGTAGTACAATTTTACCCCTGCTCAGCCCTCCCCACTTTTGAAAGAGGAGGATTCCAGCAAAGGGGCTGATGTTTGGCCAACAGCAGCACACTGGATCGAAGAGGTTGAGGGTAAAACAGGCCCCCAGGGATTGGATCACAAGAAGAAATCAAGTAAGAAATGTATTTCCAAAAGTTTGCTGGAAGGCTGCAAAATGGGCTCAGTTTTTTAAATACTTGGGCTATCCTGTAGCATTAATGTTGTAACCTTGTTAGCATAATGTAGCATTGCATTAATTAATGCAATGAGTTGCATTAATTGTACACTAGATAATTTGGTTTTTCAACCAAATAGTCCCCTCCGTTTCTATCCTTTGGCTATCTTGTCATGTCTAGTGGAGGAGCCCTTTGTAAGTATATGGGATGGCAGTGCCCATTGCTGGAGTCAGTGCCCCCCCACCAAGAACAAACACCACCTCAATGACCATCTCAGTTCTCAGAGTTAACCCTAAACCCACCCCTTCCATCAGCCGGGAGGAGCATGTTCAACCAGCAGCCAAGTGACAGGGACAGGTACCTCCCCACTTCAAAGCAGCCTGTCAGGATATTCTCTGGGAAATGGAGCTTCAATATGAATGACATTCAAAGTAAGGAATTTAGTAGAAATCAAATAGCACTTTACTAGACAATGGTGCCACATATCATGCCCCCACTCCTCAAAAAGGAAAAACATATATCCTGGGCAAATCTGTTCTCTTGGCATACTTTTTCTGAAGTCTAAATGTTCCCTAATCTCTCTCCAGCCACCAGATAATGGTTTATACTGGAAGGCTCAGGTCAGTGGTGTCTGAGGCACATGGTCCTGGCTCGGGAACCCAGAGTGGCATCCTGGCATGGGAAGGCAGCACAAAGCAGCCTGCGGCCAAGTTCATGGCGTGAAAAGGAAGGGAGAAAGGTTTGGCTCATTTACACAATGTTTTTTCAGAGAAAACAATTACAGCAAAAAATCCCTCAAATCCTAGGGAGGATTACGGGAGAATAAAGCCCATGCACCCACACGTGCACCTGTGACCCCAAGAGGAACAGATTCCTGCCGCAGGAGCTGGCTTCCAGTCATGAGCCCAGTTTGCACTGATTCAGGAGTGCATTTCCAAAGCTACATTCCACCCTAAAACATGTCTGGACTTCAAAGCCTTACATCATCTTTGCCCCTCATACCCAGAGGTCTGAGAGATTTCATGGACATCCATCTCCCTCAGGCAGAGCTGGAGGGAAGTGGCAGGGCCTCTTGACATTGGCTATGGAGTGCTGGACAAGAAGCCTGTCATCAAGTCCCCGGAGAGCTGGGAGGCAACAAAAAGTCTCCAGGGGCAGGTGCTTCTGAGGCTGGGTTTTGGGGGTGGATTAGAGGCCTACCCTGCCTTAAAAGTGGTGGCTCCTAAACTTCAGAAGCAGGTTGAGGAGCATGTTTAAGAAATGGCAGACTAGAATGTTAGGGGGCCGCCAACAGATGGGATTCCAGATATTTTACGGGCTCTTACCCAAGGACTGGTTGGCAGCTTCTCAAGTGAAAGAGGCTGAAGGCCTCATAGCTTTATCCAAAGTCAGACAGTTGTGACTCGGCCTTAGGAAATTAGAATTCCTCTTCTTTGCATGCCGCCACCTGAGGCTAAATCTAATTATGTCACAGCCTGGAAAAGCCAGGGGCAGCCCCTGTAAGCCTCATGTGAGAAGCTACATATGAGATTAGGGCTCCTGGAGCAGGACTCTCCCTTGAGCTCGCAGGCCCTGGCTTCCCAGGGCCATCTGTGCCAACCCTGTGAACCAGGAGAGGTCAGCCCTGCCTTGCAAAGACAACCGAGGGCCCAGCCCTGGGACTCACCGTGAGCACTGGGCAGGACTAAGGAGGCGAGGTGGGGTGGGGTGGTGGGCAGGCTTGGACCAGAGGCTCTCAGAAACACTGAGTATCTTTGGTAGGGCAGAGGTACTTGGGATGGGGTCACCATCTAACATAGGCAAAGGTAAGCTCCCTGGGTAAGTCCATGCTGTCACCTGTACTCCTAATTCCATTCCCTCCAAGTTGACTTTTCAGAGCTGAACTTCTAACCTTGCTTGTCAGTATTTGGGGTCCTGACACCTCTCTCTAGGGCATATGCCCTGGCCAGCTCCACTGTGCCTGGAAGAGACTTCTCCCCTTTCCTTTCTCAGATGCCATTGAGAGAAGCCCAAGCACATGAATAACCTGACTTAGGTGACCACAAGGCAGTGGAGTGTCCCCGAACATCATGGCATAAGGGCTCGGATGGCCCATACGCAGCCCTGTGACCATCACTGGGAGCCACAGCTCCAAGGCCACTTTTCTCCATCACCTTACAGAGATAGCTGGAAACTCACTGCTTCGTTCTCTTTCCAGCTGCTGAAGAGAGTACAATCATGATCCTGAAATCTTTTGCCATTTTCTCTTGAAATCCTACTGACTTTAGTAGGAAATAGAGAGACTGGCTTTAAAATAAGGCCCAGCATGGCTCCCAAGTGCCTATAATGACCCCATGCAGCGAACAAAATACAAGGGTCTGCAGGGCAATCCCAATGAGAATCAAAGTATAAACATAGCACTTGCTACAGTTCTGAGGTTGTGTGTGTCTGCTTTGTTAATAAAGCAACTCTGGGCTCATGACCCTTCCTGCCGATGCTCCATACCCTGAGGAATGCCACGGGGACACTTGGGAAGAGGCCAAGAAGGAACAGAGGCAAGGGAGCCTGTGTGTGAGGCCAGCAGCATGGAGCATGGCCAGAGGCTCAGCTGGGGACTCCAGAGCCCTCCCTGTCAACTGTCCCAGAGGAGCAGGCTGTGGGCCGCACCGCAGAGAACCCCTGGATCCTAAGGACCCCTCTCCAGCTCTTACCCTTGCCTCACCACCTTTGGGAAAGGAGACCTGAGGATTCCCAGCTCCAATGTCTACGGGCGGCATGCACCACACCTGCAGCTGCTTTTCTGGCCTTAACCATGAGACAGAAAGTTTCCGGGCTCTACCCTCCTGTCCCTCAAGCTCCGCTTGTCCCGAGCTAGTTACAAACGACAATGTACATGGAGAACATGGTGATGTCAGACACAGGCTGTACAAGGACGGGGATGCTGGGAAGTCCTTGGCCCACCACAGTCCGTTGGGGGTCTTGGCAAAGGAGCCCAGCATGGTATATACATGAGAGGTTCTCGGCACTTTCCCACCAGTCCCCAGATGGCTGCTGCTCTGTTCTGGTAGTTTATCTTTTACAAATATCATGGTAGTAAAAAATTAAAAATGAAGGAAAATACCCTTTAGACAGCATGTCCCTTCTTTCAAAATTGTGCAAAGATGGTTCAGATGCAGCTGCCACCTTGCAGGGTAGGGGCACGCTACCCTTCCTGTATCTTTTCTCCAGATAGAGAAAGAGCGCGTCTAAGCCACTGGCCCCACTTTTTCTGTCAGGAAAAGCCTACTTGGAAATTGTTGGTCATGTGGACGTGTGTGGTAGGGGTGGTGGTCACGGCAAGGTCATAGGTGTCTGTCTCTGACTTTTCTTTTAATAGACCTCTCAGCTGGCTCCAAAAATATCTCTCTCTGATTCTGGGGACTGTGGCCTCGATATTTCAAACAGCTCCTGAGGAGACTGAGAGGATCTTCTGGAAGTTAATATCCTGAGTATCTCAGAGAGCTGTTTCTCAATATTGGTCATTTTGGCGTTTAAGGCCTTGATGTCCTCCTTCAGCTCGTGCCTCACCTCCAGGACTGTGGCCTGCAGCGTCTGCTCAGGGATAGGGTAGAAAGAATGCTTGACCTCTGCCAGGATGGGACTCCGATCCTGGGGACTCCTGGCCTCACCCACATTGTCCAGCCGCAAGTCGCTCTTGGTGATGCCACTGTCACACGAGTCTGTCTTCTTCAGCGTGGCCTCGCCTGATGCTTTTGTCCTCTCGGGAAGTGTCTCCATCGACTCAGCCTTGGACACCTTGTTCCATTCCTCACCCTTCCCACAAGCATCTTTGAAGCGGGCCCAGCCCTTGCGCTTGGCACAATCGCCCCCGCCTGCCTTGGGGCCCAGGCACTCGGACCCGGGTGCGTGTAGCTTTGCGTGGTCTGGAACCCCGGAGGTGGAGGCTGCCTGGAAGGACACGGGCGTGGCAGGACTCTCACGTACGGTGACCACGCTGGCCTTCATGAGGCTGTGGTTGGCGGAGGCATGCTCTGTGAGGACATTGCCCTTCTCCACATCTAGGTCATCCAGGTCCCGGCCCCCTCTCTCAGCCGCCAGCCTGGCCTCTTTCTGCTGTCGGAATCTCTGGAAGAGGCGCCGGACAGGGTGGTCCGGGGGCAAGATCAGGGGGGCCTCATTCTTTCGTTTCATACGCTCTTCCTCTTCACGTTTCACGTCGCTGATCTTCCGGAACACAATCTGGAGAGAGAGAGAGAACGACATGCCATGTTAGCCACATGCTGGCTGCAGCAGCCCAGCTCAGCCCCTCTGCCTATCATGGCCCTCTCCTTCCAGTCCACCTGCTGCCAAGAGGCTGGGGCTCACAGCCTGCAAGGCCTCACGAGGCTTTTCTCTATGACTGACCTCACCCTCCTTTTCTTGACACTGACCCCCAGCTTTCCAACAGCAGGTAATTGACTCCCTTTGTCATTCCCTTCAAGAGGAACAGATCCCATTTTTTTCCCTCCCCACATGCCAGGAGGCTGAAGAATCCAAAGAGCATCTTCCCAGGAAACTGTCCTGGCCTCCCTTAAATCCGTCCTTGTCTGCAATTCAGCATCATCTCATGAGCCTTTCAAATATCATTTTTCTGGCCCCACTTCAGATCTACTCCATTAGTATCTCTGCACAAAAGCTGGAGCATCTCTGGTCTAAACCATACTTCAGGACAAGAAAGTCCCCTGGCAAGGCTACAGCTAAGGTTTCCAAGGCCACCCACAGATCTGGACCCTAAGTGAATGTGGTTGGCTGTGAAAAGTAAAAGCCAGTCTCACACGGAGTCCTCCTTGTCCTTGGTGAGCTTACAGTAGACTAACATCTATAAAGTTGAACATAAACTTGTCCTAACAATAATACCCACACTTGGACAGTGATTTGCAGGTCACAAGGCACTTCAATGTTACTTCATGTATTCCTTTTGACAGCACTGTGAAGTCACTGGAACACCTGTTATTATCCCCATTTCAGACATAAGGAAACCGCAGCTCAGAGTGGCTAAATATCACCTAACAGGTAAGTTGCCTAGAAGGGACTGGTACCCAAGGTATCAAACCCCAGATCCATTAGGTGGCCAGCAGGTAATGACTAATGATAACAATACTTCATGCAGAGGATGGACCATCAGCAAAACAGACTCATGAATTTGGCCCTGAGTGCAGCATAAGCCACAGCTTACGGGGGCCTTCCCCTGGGTCAGCATCTGACTATGGGAAAGCCCCATAATTTCTAGCTTATATTGCATGTGCCAGTTAGACTCTGGGACATGTTTTGACCCATATCATGTTTGAATTTGTGAGACGCAACCTGTAATAGGTTGTCTTTTTAGTGTAAATTTCTGATTTGAGGACTACAGGTATTGAGATTGTGTAGAAGTAGAGGAGAGGCCTGTGGTAAGGGAGAACAGCAGCTTTTTCATCATCCCAATCTGGGAAACTTTGTGCCCTGGGCAGGCAACTTAGACCCACCCAGAACCTGTCCCAGGGACTTGCCACAGGACTGCCGGTCTTGGGGAGGCACACATGGTGTCATGCCAGGAGCAGGGGTTTGGGGTCAGAAAGAACTAAGTTTAAGTCCCAGCCCCATTACTTAACCGTGTAACCTCACACAGGTATCTTAACTTCTGAGTCTCAGCTTCCTCCTTAAAAAGTGAGGAAAATCTCTACTTTTCAGACTTGGTATAAAGCTGATACAGGATGACTTATATGAAATCACTAGCCCACTGGAGATGCTTAAATGGCTCCTGTTGTCCTCGCCCTTTCAAGGCCCCCAGCTGAAGATGACACGCAACTCGCCCTACCTCCTCCAAAAGGCCCTGCCCTGTGCTGTCACCAGTAGGTTCTCAGGTATGACCAACAAGACCATTGTTTTATAGTGCCCAACACAGAGAAGCCAAATAAACAGTTAATTGCTTGATGCTAGGAATCCATCAGCAAATCACTGGCAGACTAGAGGCCCACGTCTGTGCACTAACTTCTTGGTCAAAGTTTCTGTCACTAGATGACTTTACACTGAGGTCACTAACAGGTGGATGGGTGGTTAAATCTTCCAGCTATTATCTGGATTCTGATATGTGACTTTCTGACCTCCACTGGGCAGCATTTCTCCCATCCCTGCCTCCTCTGGTCCCCTCTTTAGCTGTACCCCAACTGCCCCTACAGTCTGGCTTGCAGATCCAAGAAGTGGGACTCGGGAGAACCCTGTCCACCCTGAAGAGGGCCAGAGAAACCCAACAAAAGGCCTCATGGGGGGATGGGGAAGTGATAAGTAGAGGGATTGGGACCCTTTTCTCTCTGTGCTCTGAGTTGGATGCCTCTATACGCGCTGTACTCTGTTCTGGGAATGGCCTCTGCTCTCCATTGGGCATCCAAATCCTCTTCACACCAAGACCCAGCGCAAATGCACCTCCTCCAGAAAGTCTTCGCTGATTTCAATGTGCTGTAAGTTATCCTCCTACCTCCCAACTCCAATGGCCCTTTCTACAGTTAGACTGCTCTTCTGTCCTGATTACTCTCTATCTTGTATCCATTTGTAGTAGAGAGGCCAACTCTCTTCTGCCTACTCACACGCCTTCTTAGAGAGGGGAGGAGAGAGAAGAGAATAGGAAGGAAGGTGGAATGGAGGGAAGGAATGCAGAAAAGAGGAAGGAGAAAGTGGGTGAGAATGTGAATGTACCCAAGAGAGATGATGGCTTTTAGGGCTCATTGCTCTTTTCCTGCCCTTTATATCTGCAGGATATCTGATTCCTAACACTATCCCCCTTTTTCACTTGAGCAAGTTTGGGCAGGTCTCTTCCTTCTAAGCAACAATTCCTGAACACAAACATATTCTATCCCGCTAAAAGGTCCCTGAGGGCTCAGAACAGTACTTTGGAGGTCACACTGTATTTTTTACTTTTTAAATGTTTGCTTATTATTTGCCCTGAAAGAGCAATAATTTTCCGTTTTGTTTCCAATTTCCAGCTGTTCAAAGTGCCTGGTACCTAGCAGGCCCTCAATAAATATTTGTGCAATGTAGAACACATAAATATTGGCTAATGAATCCGTGGGATAATATCTTCTTCCTGGAAAGATGAAATCACAGAGGTCATTGTCAATGTTATAAAAAGCAGAGTTTGGCCTGGACACACATCTCTCAACATCAAAGGTCAGGGGCAGCCTCTGAGACTTGAGATGTTCTAAGACTAATGAAAAGGAAGTTCTTCAGATATTGAGGAGTCAACAAAAAACTGATCCCAAGAGGCTTAACATAATTCATGGTGGACATTTCGGAGTGGAAGTGGGAGTTCCTCTTTGAGGGTGTGGCTACATTGTGCTTGTCACCCAGAGGCCCCATGGGTCAGAATCCTGGACTGAACCAGCCAGCATATTCAGGTGTTATGACTGTGTGGTCGATGTGGGCAGTTCAGGCACTCACAGACAGGGCCTGTTGGTGGAACCACGGGTCTCTGGATCTGTGCAGGCTTTTTTTCCAAAGTGTCATCCTAGGCTGCCCTCCATCATCCTGTGTGATAGGCAGCCCCCCTGAATGTCACTGTCTCAACCAGTGGACAGGTGAGCCAGGGAAGAACTTCCTATCCTGCAGAAATGCCTGGTTCTTCCTTTGAGAATCAGGGAGGTAAAACCAGCCACCCCCAGGAGACAAGGCAAAAGGAATTTTTACAGAGCTGATGTGGTCTGACAGCTTTGCTGATCTGGAGTCAAGGGCTCTGCTTACTAACTTCAACTGCTTTTCTGGAGAAGTTAGTCATGGAGTGTGTCTCAGAGGCAGCCATGACCATGCATTTTGCCAAGTATTTTAGATCTGAGTGGGCAGGAGTGGTTGTATGACTCATGACAATAAGGTCTGTGCCACCAGCACCAGCCACAGCAGCTCTCCGTCTGCTTGGAGATGCTCCACAGCTTCCCATGGCAAGAGTGTATCCTGGGAATGATGGGCATGACTCCCAACTCTGTAACCCAGGATGCTCCCTATACTGGACAGGTGATGGATGGAGGTCTGGGGAACAAGTCTGTCCAAAGTATTCCATGATGCTCTAATAGGTACTATGAGGTGGGAGAAGTTCCAAGGTTAGGTACGTTTGAGCCACACTGCAGTGTTAAATGGGTTGCTTTACTACAGGACTTCTCAGAGCCTTACCACGCTAATGTGCCTTATGAATGTCTAAGAGGAAGACATTATATGCAGCACTTCTTTTATTTTTTATTTTTTATTATTATACTTTGAGTTCTAGGGCACATGTGCATAACGTGCAGGTTTGTTACAGATGTATACTTGTGCCATGTTGGTGTGCTGCAGCCATCAACTCGTCAGCACCCATCAACTCGTCATTTACATCAGGTATAACTCCCAATGCAATCCCTCCCCCCTCCCCCCTCCCCATGATAGGCCCCGGTGTGTGATGTTCCCCTTCCCGAGTCCAAGTGATCTCATTGTTCAGTTCCCACCTATGAGTGAGAACATGCGGTGTTTGGTTTTCTGTTCTGGTGATAGTTTGCTAAGAATGATGGTTTCCAGCTGCATCCATGTCCCTACAAAGGACACAAATTCATCCTTTTTTATGGCTGCATAGTATTCCATGGTGTATATGTGCCACATTTTCTTAATCCAGTCTGTCAGTGATGGACATTTGGGTTGATTCCAAGTCTTTGCTATTGTGAATAGTGCTGCAATAAACATACGTGTGCATGTGTCTTTATAGCAGCATGATTTATAATCCTTTGGGTATATACCCAGTAATGGGATGGCTGGGTCATATGGTACATCTAGTTCTAGATCCTTGAGGAATCGCCATACTGTTTTCCATAATGGTTGAACTAGTTTACAATCCCACCAACAGTGTAAAAGTGTTCCTATTTCTCCACATCCTCTCCAGCACCTGTTGTTTCCTGACTTTTTAATGATCGCCATTCTAACTGGCGTGAGATGGTATCTCATTGTGGTTTTGATTTGCATTTCTCTGATGGCCAGTGATGATGAGCATTTTTTCATGTGTCTGTTGGCTGTATGAATGTCTTCTTTTGAGAAATGTCTGTTCATATCCTTTGCCCACTTTTTGATGGAGTTGTTTGTTTTTTTCTTGTAAATTTGTTTGAGTTCTTTGGAGGTTCTGAATATTAGCCCTTTGTCAGATGAGTAGATTGCAAAAATTTTCTCCCATTCTGTAGGTTGCCTGTTCACTCTGATGGTAGTTTCTTTTGCTG